GGATCCGGGGGGGGGAGGAAGCAGCCCGGGATGGAGCCTCTCTGGCAGCTGAGGGTGGATATGTTTCGGGGGGATACCCCACGGCTACCGCACAGGGAGCAAGCAGACCCTGTGCTTAGGGCCCCGGGCTGGGACCCGGTGGAGAGGGTGGGCCTGGGTCCCCCTCCCCTCCCGCCACCGTAGGGAGTTGAGAGGTGCTCCAGCGCCGGTGGGCGGAAACCTCCAGCAAAGACCGCGGGGGGAAAACCCGCACAAAGGGGCTGGCGACCCCTGGGTTCGCAGATCCCCCAGACTCGGTTGAGCGGGGTGATCGCACCCAAAGACGCGAATCCGGATTAGACTCCGGAATCAACAGGCCATAATACGACGACGGGGTCCGCTGAGCCCCCCTTCCGGGAGGAAGGCGGTGATCGCACCCCGCGATGCGGTCACAACTATCCAATAAGCTTTTGCTTATTGGATAGTCAACTAGTTGATTAGTTACTTATGCTCCACACGGTGTTTCAAAGCAGCAGCGCCCCATGGAGCCCAGGGGATCTGAGCCTGGGCCAGCTTGGGACACGGCCTTTCAAAGCAACAGCATCGCATGGATCCCAGGGTCTGGCCCAAGGCTCTTTGAAACAGCCTCTCCCCCCCACCCTTGTTGCCTCTTTCTGATAGACGCAGCAAGGGGGGGAAGGAAGCAACTAATAGACTAGCCTGTTAACTATCCATTCACATCCCTACTTCAAGAAATAAAGGACCCACCACTTCCCTCAGTAGTTTGTTCAAATAATTCAAGACCTTCACTCTTAAAAGTATCAGATTTATTTCTCTGTTTGGCTTTAACTTGCAGCCACTCTATGTCTTTCACTACTCCACTGAAAACCTCTTTAGTACCAAGCATTTTCTCCCCAAGAAAGTACGTGTTCACTGTCAATTAAATCATCCCTTGATCTTTTTGATCAACTAAAGCCATTTGCTTTGGCAGGATGAAGGGGGAAGTGAGCTCTGATGTATATTTCAAACGTGATGCTTGGAAGAAGCACATGTTAAATTAGATGATAGTTTTGTCACTTCATTGACACCTTTACTATTCATTAAAAAACAGTGCTTTAAGGATAAGTCCACACCAGTGTTTCTCAACCAGTGGTACGAGTACATTAGAGATACTCAAGAGAAGTCTGGAGGGGGATATGTCAACACAACTGAAATTTGGAGAAAACTGAATTTTGTTTTAAGCTTTACAGCGCTTTATTATTTTTGTACTTTTTATATCCAAACATTTCATCACCAGCCCAGCTACGATTAAGTTGTTTAAACAAATGTGTTGCAATGGTAGGAAAAAATTGTGTGTCTGAAAACTGTAGGTCCATGGGGTACTTATTTTTGTTTTAAAGGTTGAGAAATTCTGGTCACACAGCAGGGCTAAGGTCAAATTAAGCTATGTAACTTCAGGTACATAATTTGCATAGTTTAGGTCAAAACAGCTTAACTTGGCTTTAGGTGCTGTCTACACAGCAGGAAGTCGAAGGAAGAACACTCTAAAAGGAGGGTTACAAGAGTCGAAGTCCTCCAGCTCAACATTATTTCAAAATAAAGGCTTACAGTGTAGACGTGCTCTTTGTTATTTCGGAATTACATCAGTTATTCTGAACTATCGCTGCTGTGTAGACGTACCCTAACACATGTTCAGTAGATTTAGATCCAAAACAAATAAAGTTTACTGAGTACCCAGCAGCTATCTCACCCATCTTTCAAGAAACATATCTCAGAATGGAAAATACATCAGAGACACCATTAAAATAAAGATTACTTATACCTCCAAATAGCTTCTCCACATCAGCTGGGAGCTACACTCTTGCTGGCACTGGAAAGTGCTATCCTGATAATAGCTGGTCAAAGATTTTCTGATGAAACCATTTATTGAGAAAACATCAAGTCACTAAATCAGAAACTTCTCATGACAGAAAGTCTGATTTGATAAACTAGGGGTGAAAGCTAGCTAGCTAGGGTTCTGATGAAACCCTGCCATTCCACACAGTCTGTCCTGGAGCTAAGGATCCCAGGCTCTTAGGCTGTGTCTACACTGCACCCCTTTTCCAGAAAAGGGATGCAGATTAGACAAGTCAGAATTGCAAATGCAGCGGGGGATTTAAATATCCCCCGCTTCATTTGTATAAACATGGCTGCCGCTTTTTTCCGGCTCGGGGCTTTGCCGGAGAAAAGCGCCAGTCTAGATGGGATCTTTCGGAAAATAAAGCCTTTTCCAAAAGGTCCCTTATTCCTGATTTTAAGAGGAATAAGGGATCTTCCAGAAAAGGCTTTATTTTCCGAAAGATCCCGTCTAGACTGGCGCTTTTCTCCGGCAAAGCCCCGAGCCGGAAAAAAGCGGCAGCCATGTTCATGCAGATGAAGCGGGGGATATTTAAATCCCCCGCTGCATTTGCAATTCTGACTTGTCTAATCTGCATCCCTTTTCTGGAAAAGGGGTGCAGTGTAGACACAGCCATAGGGTTTGCAGCTCCAGGAGAGTCCCGCTATGCCAGGATTTCTACAATCTCTGCTGTGGAGCCAGGACTAATTGAGGTGCTGCTCCTGGTTTTGCAGCAGGGAGCCTGGAATTTCTGAGGGCTTTCACAACTGCAGAGCTGGGACCCTGGAAGTTCTGGGACAATCTCCCTGAGCCTGCAACACCAGACAACTCTACCACTGGGCTTTCCCCAGGACTGGAGCCAGCACTTCCAGGCTCCAACGTTCCTCAAGTTTCCAGGCAGGGACTGACTCTCATACGTACAGTACCAATCACAAGCGAGCCCTGATCTTTTCAAGGCCCTCTATGTGCTGCTGTGATACAAGCAATCACCCAGATGATGCACCATGAGACTACAAGAAGAACATTTGCCAAACAAAGTTGTAGCGCTCACAGGAAGACACTTTTTTTTTTGGGGGGGGGGGGGCAACACAGGGGATGAAAACCCACTACAGACTAGTAATAGCAATGAGTCTAAATGACAGCAATGTGTAAAACCGAGGACTAGTTTCCTCAATACAATGCATCACTCCTTCCCTATCCCAACATCCATATTGTAGTATGAACTGTATATGTTGAGATCATCAGAAGCAGCATCAGCTTTCACTGCACTTCATTCATCAGAATCCTATGAAACAGTGCTTAACCTCAAAGTATGCACCCTGAGGAGAAAACCTGAAAGCTTCTCCTTCTTAATAAATCCCTTCAGGTGTTTCTAGACTCCGTCTGCAATCACAGCCATGTGTAAAATTACACAACTGTCTAAAATATCTATGCTTCCTACGGGATTTGGAAATTTGCATAATTTCGGTTTGGCATTACGCAAATCGGATCCCATTGCTGATAAAAGATACCATCAACCTGGGCTGCTATTAGGAGGGTCCTGTGTTGTCAGTATTATAAGAACACTCGAACGTATGCAGGAAAGAATGCAGCCATCAGCTTTTCCCCCTCCCCCTCTTCACCTTGCAAAAAGTATTTTTAGCCCTATGGATATAACTGCCAATATGTTCACTTTCATTCTTTGTGAGGGAACGATTCTGACAAGAGGCAGGAATTTAGCAGTGAATGTACCTTATATAACCAAGGTCAACAGAGACATTCTTCCAGCCAAAGTCAGTTTTCCTAATACCTCAAAATGTCCCCCTCTTTGTTTGGTTTTGTTTAATTTCAGGTTAATTGAGTTTGGGCCTCCCCAGGCCAAATCCTGATCTCATTAAAGTTAATGGAAATTTTGCCCCTGACTTCACTGTGAGTGTAACAAGATGATCCTGTACACTGACACTCACCCAAGTACCTTTACCCATGTGAGTGTTGCCAGCAAGAGAAAAGGGTGCATGCACTTAAGAAAACTACTTGTGTGCATTGGCAGGACCAAGCTTTCAAGCAGCTCCAATGAAGTTAATGGGTCTATTCATGAATGTAAATCTGGCAGAAAGAGGTCTAATATTTGTAGTCTCAGAACACAGCAAAGCTTATTATATAACTAAATAGTATCTCCCATCTGCTCAGTCCCAGAGGTAGTATGTAAAGTTGTGCCAGAAATATGAATAAAAGCATTTTTTCAGAGTGCTGCAACAGCAAAGACAAAAGAAAACACGTACCCAAAACACATATCTGGTTAATTCACACAGTGTCTAAGTCAGATCAGTAACGGCAGATAAAAGGAAATCTGTAAAGGTTATGCCTAAAATGACAGCTGTTAAAAGCAGCTCTCAGGCCTGCAGTGAATTTGGGTCAGTGTTCAACTGCTTTATGCAGTACAGCAAGAAAGTTACAACCTGTAAATATCAGAAAGAGGCAGCATCCTCATATTGTTTGCATATTTACATCTATTATCTTCAGCCCCAATCCTGCAAACAAAACTTACTTACACATACGCTTATTTTTTTTTTTACACAGCCGTTGTCCCATTGCAGTCAGTCAATATGTAAGTGTTCACATGACAAGGGCTTTACTGAGCTCCAGGAGAAAGCTTCGGAAACAAATGTTAGCTATCACCTGTGCTTTCATGCCCTCTTCTGGGCTACCTGCTTTTCTCCAACTGCCTTGTTTTGCCTGTGAGCTGTTTCTGCCTCCATTTTGGACAGGAAAATAAATACACAATTCTCTTCCTCAAACACATTCTACCTCTCTTCTCCTGACATTTATTCCAATACAAAAGCCCCAAAGTCCTTTGTTAGCTCTCAGTTCAGATTGTTAGCCTGCTCATCCTAACACCACACACAGAAATAAAGCTCTGAAGACATTCAGCATCCCATTTCCCTTCAAGCCCCACACCCTCTGTCTGTACAGAAAATGGGCAGGAAGGGAGAAAAGTTAACAAAAACTATTCTTAACTTGGTACCTTTTTAGCCAAGGCCTTTAAACTGTCTAGAAACCTTTGCCAAAAATCCTTGAAGAGAGGACGGTCAATTTTCTTCAGGCTTTCTTTGGTGCTAGCATCCACGCTGACATACAGCTGTGTTACTGGCTCAAGGTTCCTTGGCAATAAAAAGGAGAGGGGAATCATTATTTTCAGACATTATAGCTAACTGAATTTATGCTTTTTTACAGAAGCATCCATAAGACAACATCACAGAGCCAATAACTGCTGTACTCTGCTCTGTTCCCAGAAGCAAAAGCAGTAATGTAATATTTACAGCACACTCTCTCAAAGTTCAGCTGCACAATCTTTACCAAGTGGCTGGGCTTTCGAACAGTGAGAGGAAATAGTCTTTCACGACAATGTGCCACAAAGCAAGAAACAGCACATTTGAACCACTCAGAAAAGGGTCAGGCCCAGTGAAAATTCAGAGATCCAATCCTCGCTGAACAGCACCCGGGTAGAGCACAAATTAAGAAAAACCTTCCCAGGAGGCCTGTGATCAAAGGAGCCTGTTGTCTTTCCTGAAGTCAAAATTAGGGATGTAAAATACCAATTACTTGGCTAATCGTTACATCGTGTTCAATCAGTTAACCGATTAACTAGGGGGGGACAAAGTGGACCTGCAGTGGGCCCACGGGGCTGGAGCACCTCCCTGTTTGTAGCAGGCAGGGAGCTGCTCCTGCCCCCCACCAGTTAACCAGAACCATAAAACATCATCCATTAGGGGTGATGCTTACCAGTTAACCTTCCACATCCCTAGTCAAAATGCCCTAAGATTACACCTGTCCTATAAAGAAGGCCGCCCTATTCAACCGAAATGCAGTGCTGCTCAATGGAGTTCACCTGGCAGGGTGACCGCATTTCCTGAGACCCATCCAAAATCCTGCACTGAATCCTTTTCAGCTAGCACTAATGTGTGTATGCTTGGGACCAGAGACCTGCTGTAAGATAAGACAGTGATTCCAATGTCATATTCTTCATTATGATTCCTTCCCATGTGTGAATAGACCCAGGTTTCAAAACTTTGAGGAGTGTTTGTCTGGAGCAAAAAGTGTGGGATGTATCTCCCACCAGGACACCAACGCCTTTGTCAAGTTGACTAAAGAGATCATTACAGCAATCCCAGCCTGCGTCTGTCTAAGTGCAAAGGGCTGCAACTCAGATTTCAGAGGGAAACCATAATATGCGTTAGCTCTTTTTATCATTTAAACATTACACAGTTTACAAGTGTAATCTCCTGGCAAATGTGTGTTACAGGTCCCCTCTATGCCAATCCACCAAGGACAGGAGTTGTCACAGCCCCTGTTACAATACACATTCACCAGTGGGTTAACACAAATGCTACGTCAGCAACTTCTAAAAGCTTAACCCTATTCTGCTGTCCAAGAGCTTGTGATCAATTTCATCCATGCAGGAACTCCAAGGCTTGCGGGTGTGATGCAGACACCATAACACAGTATACTGCTAAGCAAGAAATGATGAACAAAGAAAGTCAGACTTGGGGCTCCTTAAAAACAAGAGAAGCAAAGTAAATTACTTTTTATACCCTTTTATCTCTTCCAGAGGGCTGGTGACATCTGTCAAACACTGGGCAAAAACATCTACCGCAATTCCTTCTAGATGAAATGACAGCTTAACTATTTTATTGCACAGCTCTGTGGTACTTAACTAGCCAATGTTTTAGGAAATTAGGGAAGAGCCTTCGGCAAATGTTGCCTGGGAAGGCTGCTAATAAGCAGGGTACAATGCCAATCTGATTTGACAGTTAAAAAAAAAAATCCTTC